CCTATACATCCCACATTATATACATAGTGGTAATCTTTAGAAATCGAACACTTAAACTAATCCATTTAATGTCAATCCAGGAAAACAATCCGGCCATCATTAGCATTCCAACCGTAAGTATTTTAGTGTAAATATCCCATGAAAATGCTTATCCCAAAAAGTAATACAAGAATGGGACACTGACACGACAGAATGTGTCGTCTCTTGATTTACAGTTGCCTAATGAACATTAATCACTGTCTGAGTTATCGGCTTGTGGTTTATGCTTAAAAGCACTCCCCTATCTTTAAGCACCCAACGTGTTGTAGTAAAAGTATCTGAGAGGAATAGACATCAACTGGCTCGTCGTAAATTTCTTAACGGTGAAAATGATTTGATGATTCGGCTCTACTCCTTAGTTCTTGTTTGTTTCGAGTCTTTTCCTTTCTGAAACGTACCTAGATGCACTAATTGTAATTCTGAGAGAGCTGCCTCCAAACAGATGCCGACAGTATAATTTTTGTCTTGACAAAATTTTTATTACTAATTGACTCAGTCCGTGTAAGTTTAAATATTATCCAATTAATTATGGGTTATGTTACGAATGAAAAATCTGGTAAGTTCGCAATTGTAAGGTAAATTTCTTAAAGCCTATAAAACGATAAGCTTTTGATAAGCCGATTTCAAATCACTAAGCAATTCTGTATACGTCCTACTAAACTTTCAATATTGACCAAATCCAATATAATCTTCTGTTCCTCTAGAAAGGAAGTATTAATCGTTAAAGTTATAGCAACTTCTTGGGTCCTTATTCAAGACAGGAAAGACATCCTCTTCTTTTTAGCCTGTGTTTTTTATTTAAAACAAAGAAATAAAAATAAAAACCTTTCCATCAAACTTGTTATCTCAGTGAGACACTATGTTGATCCCTTATTATTTTAATAGTTGAAATTGTCCCAAATAAAAGTATGCGATTCTGTAACTGGCGACCGAAAAGGGTCCGCGAAAGGTACACGTCTGTCATTCATCCCAAAGTAATTTCCATTTGATCCAACATAACTTTTAGCTTGCTTTAGTAAAAGTTTAACTTTAAGATTACAATCAAGGGGTTTGCCTCCGACCTTCTCACTCCATAGAACTTGAGACTGCTCCTAACTAGAAAAAGAAAATAAGCAGTGGAACCGGAATACAGCAGTCAGTGACTCGTCTATCTCTAAAGATTGCAAACCTTCTTAAATTGTTAATTTCGCACCATTCATTTTTTCCATAAGCTATTTTCAATCAATCTGCCTTCATCCTGCCGCCCTAATGATTAAAATTATAGATAAGCTCTTACCAAACGCCTGCACCTGATCAACTATTCCATCAGTTTGGATTCTCTACACTTTACGATCCATCAATCGCGTCATGGCCGTAACTTCATCCTTCCTTGAACAGAACCAGTCGTTTGTTGAACCATGTCGTGGCCCAAAGCTACGAATAAGCCGGATAATAAGGAAACTAAGCAGCAAACTATTAGGCACCTACTACCTGACTCTAAAATCGCTACGCGTGAACTTCGCCAACGGAAAATTCAATACAAGTTTATTCTTTTTCCTGATCAAACTAAAAATTTAACCTATTTCCGCCCTCTGTCGGTTTTCGCATCCCTAGGTGCGGATCTCCTACTGACCTCCTTCATCCGCACCTCGGGTCCAAACGTGTGTCCCGTCAGCAATCCAGGTCCGCCGTTGTAGGTGCTTTAGGTGGCTCACTCAACAGCCGGTGCCGCCGGACGGGCGCTGAGAAGCTACGCTCCCGATCCATGTGGTCGCAGGCAATGGACAGCGAAAACCTCAAGACCGTTAGGGAGAGGGTGAGGAGCATCCTCGGCAATTCTTTTATGCCGAGTTCTCGGAACGTCGACTTTGTACGCCTGGGTGTGCATCCTCTAGCCCCCACTACCACACCAGCTGCCACAAAGTGGCGTTCTTGGTGCAGCTCCGTGAGGACTTCCCTCAGTAACCCATATTTCTCCGCCGTGAGGTCTACCACCGCGTCCAACGCGTCCGCAGTCTCATACGCCACCGCGAGGTTTAGGATAACTATCCCATCCTCATAGGTGGCAGTGACATCCGGCCGAAGGGCAACGGTCTTGAAATTACATACGGCAATGAGACAACCTTGGTATGACATTAGATACACGCTTGCAATGGAAAACCCATGTCCCAATAGAGCTTACCATCAAATTCCGGAAAATGAATTAGTTAATACATTAAGTTCTCCTTTGCCCGTTGAAATTCCTTAATCAACAGGTCCTCAAGTCTATGTGGACTTACGGCATCCAGATCTGGGTTCATGCCAGCAAAGCCAACCGTCAAATCATACAAAGATTTTAAAATAGAGGAAAGATTAATAGGAAAGGAAGTCAATGAATCCTGGTACATCAGAAATAATGACCTCCACCGTTAACTCAACCCTAGACGTCGAACACCTAACCAGACGATTCAAGGGTTCAAGCCACATGATTCATGCTGGTGCAGTGAAGTGGTTAATGTTAAACTCTACAATAAATTAATGTCATTACGTTGTGGGCGTCATTGCATATTCCTTTGAACAGAAGCAGTCTCCCTGTGTGTTCCTTCCCTTTCAGTCTTTGACAGCATTTGACACCCGGACCTCCTGCTTACCTTAGTTTAGTCAAGTTATTAGTTAATAAACATGGTATCTTACCCAGTTTATTAATTAATCATAAAATCGTACTGGTCTGACTGTTAGACAACGTACATTGATATCCCTAACTATCCAGATTGACGTCCAACAAGAGAGCATCCTATCCTTTACACGATATACAGTCCTCCCAGAGACAATTACCTTCACGTTTTGCTAACGAAACAACAATCCTTTCTCCGCATAATGATGATCTCCTTCTAGTTAGATAAGGTGACACTGATAATTTTCTTTTATTAATAATGTCATAAAAAAACGATAAGCTTTTTCCTATTGGTCTTATTTTAATAAACGTTATTTTTCAAATTACAAGATGCTAGGTGGGTTGTTAAAATTTTTCTTTTCTGAAATGTGGAACCTACGTTTCGTCGACTTTTTGATATTGGTTCATAAGTAGTTTGAACTAGAACAGTATGCGAGTACTCCGTATGATGGAAGGATGAAACGCGTTGATCCTTTCCGTCCGCTCTGGCCATAACATTAAATTCAATCATGCACGTGCGTGATGAATATTAAACGTTCTTCCTGTATACGATACAACATAAATAATAACCAACTCATCGAGAAAGTTTCACAGCCTGTCTCATAAAAGGAAATTTTGGTGGGATCTATATGATATATATCCAACGTAACAGCATTTGAATATTTTTATGATTTAATCGATTAAATGACATTTAGCTCATTGAAATATAAAAATTAATTGGTGAATAATTCTTTCGATCAACAAAAAATTCTCTTTTTATATTAATTCTAAACTTCATGATTTATGCATATAGGAAAGTGTTTTTGATCTTGAACTGATATTAGTATATATATGCATTTAGCAGTCATAATTTACCGTACAAATTATTTTACTTAATTATACTTTTAATCTAAGGCCTTGATTGAGATGAAAAAGCAAGTCTCACGATCGGGATTCGAACCTACAACTTTCGAACACGCTCCTCTGATAGCTCAAGTGGTATGAAGCCGGAGGTCGTGGGTTCGAATCCCTACTTGTTTTTACATTATTAACTACTCAATCAGAATCAAGAAAAAATAAGACAATTTAAACTGGAGGAAACGTTTCGAAATCATAAAAGTTTCGGACTTGTGACCGAAATTGGAAGAAGTTAAAACCACTTTTAGAGTTATAAGTGGAGTAAGAAAACATTCATGTAAACTAAAATCGCCGAGCCTGTCAATGCTGAAGGTCTTCATCAGACAGAAGGATCAACGTTTCAAAGATGATTTTGTTTAGATTCATCTTTAATTTCGTAAACACAAATACACACAAAACTACCCTGGGTAAACGAGAAACGATTGTCTCAAGTTTTAATCTGCGGATTTATCACCCTCTGGGGAAGCGTTTATAAAGTGATGAAGGCCCGAAGAAGAAAAACTTATCGTCGGGTTATCATTATTTATGAACAATAAGTACGGATAAAGATGATACCGCATGTTATCCCCCCCGCCGATTGCTAGATTTATCCGTAGGTTGAGAAATGTGTGAGGTATTTTATAGGGATTTCTCCCTCTTCCTCTCATTCCTTTACTCATTTTCTTGGATTTAAAACCACAGTGAAAAAGGTAAGAGTTATTGAACATAAATCGGAATAAGTGAGAATAAGAAAAATATGTCGGGATTGTGGCACTACAATGAACCGCTCGATCGGTTGCCATTTACCGGCAGGCGACAGTAATTTCCAACCGAATGTTATCTCTGTCGGCAGACCTTCCTGCAACCCTGACTTATTTTCCTGTATTCCCACCCAAGAGCATTCCTTCTTCAGTTGTCTGATTTTCATATCATCATATTTCCTGAACCGTCATATTCCTCAAAAATAAAGCTATTATATGGTCTTTTTACTACCTAACCCTTTCAGGACGGTTATATCGCGCACTTGCTTCCAAGTTCCATACTGAGAGTCTGCCATCACGATCATACCACTAGTAAGGTACTGCGAGCGTGACATCGCACTCTTGTCGCTTCACTTATAGATTCACATTGGAGGAAATGTTGGTTAAAACGGTTAACGGTGTTATGTTTCCTAAATTTACCACTCTCACTTGCGCTGAAAATAATAACTTAAACAGCACACTGCTTCAACGAACTTGAATCTAAACGTGAAGAGAGTAGAGCGCGATATCACGCTCTCAGTACTTGGGTTGAGGTAGGGATGAGGGCGATACCCAGCTCTCAATACTGAACGCGCTGACAGCCCTGAAAGTATTAAATTATAAAGCTGCTAATATTTATAAAAAGTATAAAACATGCAACGGCCCACTTATTTTATTAGGTTGATAATTTATTGATGGTTTGAGGTACATACGTTTTAGCTTGGCTCCTCGTCCACGACACCAGAACTATAGTTAAGAGAAAAATCCTCCTGAAAAAAATATATTTTACTTTACCATCTTACAATCCAATCAATATTTTGAACATTAAATAGTTTCTGATAGAGTGATATTTGCACACTGAAACAAATACATATTTCCTCGTGTATGCCAGACAATCTCAACCGACTGATAAACAATGTAAATTTACAACGTTAGATTTAAGCTAGGAACACACCTACCCGATGCAACGCTACGCGATGCTGCCCGACGCAAATCCAAAGTCCAATTTTCCATAAGATTGTATCACCCCCGTGCACACCTGCCCGATGCCACGCAACGCTACCCTACTCTAAGCTATGCGATCCCCACTGTCCACATTGTCGTCGGGTAGCATCGAGTACAGTCGAAGACAAAAGAACCGGTCACTCATATTTTTATTTCAAACTACATGTATTATTGTCGTTATATTACTAACAACATTCTTATTGTAATATAAACCAAATTAACCGAGATCAAAAATTCATTAGTTTCTATTAAAAAAATTAATTTTAATCGTTTGGTAGAAAATTGATCAAAACACAAGAATACCCTTTTTTGTTATAATGAATTTAACTAACAATTTATTACACAGTTTTACTCATAAAATTTAAATAACAATTTATTTCATGGTTTTATTCACAAAAATTACACCGTTTTAGTCGAGTATCTTCAGAACAGGACACATATTTTTTGCAGTTTATTTCGAACTAAGTATATGTAATTTTGTCTTTATATTAATTACAACATTCCTATTTTAATGAAAACCAAATTAAGATAAAAAATTCATGAGTTTTTATAAAAATTATTTAGCTGTGATGGTTAGGAAGAAAATTTATCAAAACACCTGAATAACTTTATTTAAAACAATTAAGGTTAACAAACAATTTATTACATGGTTTTTCTTAAAACAGTGCATTAAGAACAAAAGAGGCGTTGCGATTGTGATACTGATTTGTGATACACGCTGTGTGACTGTACGTGGCGTACGCTTGACGTCGCATAGATGTGCAAACTCTACCAAAACGGGACAAGGCGTCGGGTAGCATCCGGTAGCGTCGCATAGCGTTGCATCGGGTAAGTGTTCCCCGCTTTATTTTTAGTGTCTCAAAGGCCAAGGATCGGCCTACTCTGACTATCGTTCTCTAGGAGAAAAAATTATTTTACTTCAATTTATACTTTCCGAAATAAATGATTGGAATTGTTCGGTGGCAGAATCGAGCAGAATGGAGCACGGTCAGGATTTCAATTGTACGCGTTTCGAAGAGCTTTCGGGGACATACGAGGTAATTGTTAACAAAATTATTTATATGTTTCGCTTTCCTTCTTTTTCACAGTGATAAAACAACGAGCCTAAAAAAAAAAATTCACACTGTATTAATTTATTTACTAGAACTTACAATTTCGTATAGTTTCAGGGGGTTATTTTATTTCTCATATGACTATTGAACAAGTGACAGTACGAGCTTTTTGAAATGTTATAACAGCAGATGGGATTCATGTCTGTTGACCCTTGTAATGTTTACATATTTACCTTCGATATTTACATTTATCAAACCCCTTTCTAACCCCTGAAATCAAAATAAATGGTGGCTTTGAGAGTGCCAATAGATTCATGGGGTACAACAAATCGAAAGAGAACCAATTACAAAATTTTGCAGAGAATTAAAAAAATGAGATGGCTATAACGGTACCTGACAAGACAAGAGAAAAATTCAACTTTGACAAGCCCTTCCAAGTGGTCATAGATAATAGAAACCTTTAGAAGATACGAAGCACTAAGTTTCAGGAAGGGTCCTTAATATGGTATAAAGAGGGATCGCAGATGGAACAGGGAGTAAGTGTAGAGTTAAAAGTGCCAAACTATACCCTAGCAAAGCCCCTTTGACTAATCCCAGCAATTTTCCAAGCTGATGTTTATGCAATACAACTCTGTTCGCAAGCGTTAATAAAGGAAAATATGAAAGATGCACAGAGTTACATACTCTCAGACGGCCCGGACTAAATGCGTATGCTTTCAGCTCTAAACTTGACTGGGATGGCCTCAATGGCTCTAGGAAAACACAAAAACTTTACTTTAAACTGGGCCAGGTACATAAAAGTTTAGAAGGAAATTAACAGGCTGAGGAACAAGCAAAGATAGAACAACCCTCAAGCCCATGGAACCAGAACCACTACTAGGTGGTGTGTGCTTAAGTTGGAACTGGAATAATGGAAAAGGAAAAACTCTAGCACTGGACAAAAACACTGGTACGAGGAAGCTACTAGAAGGAACTCCTCTCTCTCAGCAGCCAGGATTTGAAGAAAATCATAGATTTCTATACCGGCCCTTTCAACTGCCACCTAAATGAGATGGGCAAAGCAGAGAGAAACATCACCATTCCGTTAGAGGGAACCAGAGACAGTGGCACAGTCCTTTGTGAATGTGAAGTATTAGCCCAGTTACGGTACAGCCACTTCGCTAAGGCAATTCTCACACCAAAAGAGATGCGCAAAGTGGCCCCGAGAAAAGTGCTTAGAAATATGTGCGCTTTCCAATTTACAGGGGTTCCACAATAGATCAATAACTTTCCAAACCAAAAAAAAAAAATCATGAGAGTATAAATAAACGAATATGTAGGTAGTGGCATTACATTCTCTCAGAAATTAAGGCCACGTTATCTGCAAGATATCTCGAAGTTCAAAATTGTTTCTGACATAGGTTGAAATCGAAAAAGTCCAACTGACTTTTTAAGGAGAAATTTCGTAGGGGAAAAAACGACGAAAATATCTGTCATGTGAATAATTCGTACGGTATTTTTCATCTCATATCGAGCAAAAAAATTAATTTCTCACGTAGATAATCGGAAAAGTAAATCAAGTAATATTCATCAAGTAACTAAAAAGATTATAAAAAGCTTCAATGGAACTTTTATGCCAATACATTCGTTTTCCTGTTTTGTTAACAAATCGTTTTTAAGGGTAACAATATAAAATCAATCTTTTACGCATTGTAAATTTTTATTCAATACGTAGGCAGCCTTTTTTTTAAAACTCTAATCTAGGTCAGAGGAGACGATGATATATTGTCTCAAGCTTTTGACACTCTGCCTCAACATCGTCCACTAGTAGGTAGCTACCCACTTACTGTTGACAATTAATTACTAATAATTTATTTGAGCATGGATTCACATTCAACAGCAAATATATCGTTTTATTACATTTTTTTCATATTTAATATTGTGATAACCCCAAATGTAGATTAAATAGTAACACAATTCTTGTGCATGATCCAAAATGATTTCATCGCTTGATTCTTTTTGGGTTAAAAAGGGATTTTTTCACTCATCAAAGGTTAAAATGTTAATTCCCAATTAACTACCTTTCCTTTGCTCAATCGCGTTTATCAAAAATTAAATTAAAAATATTATTGGAAGAATTAACTAAATCATTCTTCATTTAAACTTTGAACTTAAGCATTTATTAATCATAAACAAGTGACTTTTTGCAATTTCTAGACTATCTCCGGATTTAAATAAAAATATTTAATAAATTAATGAAAAATAAATTTTAAAAATCTGTACTTCCTCATATAGCGACGTTCCGGAAGACCTCAATAAATGTTCAACTAATAAATAAATAAGAAAGCAAAGGAGGAATAAAACAACGAAATAAAATTTTAATGGATAATTAAATCTTGCTGTTATTTGTTATTTCAATAGGTAATTGGAATAATAGATATTTTTAATTACTTATGAATTATTTTCATCTCAACCAAGACCTTACATAAAAAGAATAATCAATTGAAAGAAGTAATTTGGCAAAATTGGGTATAATAAATTAGGTAATATAAATAGAATATTACTTAACAATATTCATCATTAAAGGCACCATGTTGATTAATTTTCATTTTGCAAAACATAACATCTTAAATAAATAGTTCAAAAGTTCACTATTTTTCGTGGTCCACTTGACCAATTAATAACATTCAATTAATTAAGGTTTTAAGTTGAGATAAAAAAATCAGTGTCGCGAGCGGGATTCGAACCCACGGCCTTCGGCTTGATACTCTACCACATGAGCTATCGTGACTTCAAGTAGGGGCGTATCAAGCCGAAGGTCGTGGGTTCGAATCCCGCTCATGACACTGACTTTTTTATCTCAACTTAAAACCTTAATTAATTGAATAGTTCAAAAGATTAATTCTACTTAATTTTTTTTTTTTTTTTTTTTTTTTTTTTAATTGGCCTTATGATCTTAGCATATTAGCCATGACGAATCTCTTATATATGTTGTTCAAATTGGGGGTTATCGGGAAAAAAGGGCGAGGGGCGACGGTGGGAATCGAACCCAAAATTTCGTTTTTTCTCATGTCGAATGAATGTATTTATTAGCGTAGGTGTTTGAGTGAACGAGTGAGTTTGGGGAAGGATAAAGAATATCCCAAAGGCCCACCAAACTAGGTTAGTTATTTTATCCGGCGAATATTCTTTTTCGGTTTTTCTCATCTAGAATGAATATAATCATTAGTGTGAGTGAGTAAACGAGTGGGTTTGTTGAGAAATATAAAGTACTCCACAGGCCCGTCGGACAAGTTAGATTAATTAGTGTATTGGGTACGCGGAGTGTGATTGGCTGATGAGCTTAATTGTTTGAAAGTTTAAACCATATGAATGTATTAATTGGCGTGATTGGAAGGAGTACGGTGAGGTGATGGACATTTTGCTGGATCCTTCTTTTAGTTTTAAGGAGATCCTCACCAAACTAGGTTAGTTATTTTATCGTCCCGAATGAATTGAAGTATTTATTAGAATGATTGGGTGTGTGGGTGCTAATGTGTTTGTGGCGGAGTAATGAAGTGCTCCAAAAACCCATTAAATTAGGCTAGTTTTATAGGGTCAAATTGTGTTTAGACTGAAAGGGGGAAACACTAGGAGATTGAAGGCCACCTTCAATTAGGTGAGACACATCGAGGAACGTTCTCTGCATGCCGTACACATACGCGAGCTTTGACTCAGAAGTAAGTGCCTATGCA